CTCTCAGATCATTAAACTGACAACTCTTTTGTTTTCACACATCTTATGTGTTAGCTTAGCATGCCTCTAAAATTTATCTTTTATTGCTCTAAAATTTATCTTCTTGAGTGTACTCAATAAAAGATAAATTTTAGTTAAGTCAAATACATTATTCAGAAATATCAAATATTTTATAGTGTGAAACATATCTCTAATAGACCAGCCTTGAGTGTACTCAACAAGTTGAGGTCGATTTAGGATTCTCGTTTTTCATTATAACGATGAAAGACAAATATTACTAACTTAATGTTTTAACGAGGGATTTTAACATGTAATGGTCTCACCAAGTAATTATATATATATATAATCATGCATCAACCATTCGAATAAATATATAAATAATAGTATAGATGATTATGGACTTATTCTATCTAGTTTTCCCGAGCCAAAGGGAAGACTAGTTGGTCAATTTCTAAGGGGTACAATATTGGATCAACATCAATGCACCATCTCCATGGTTTCCACCTCTTCTTGCGCCTTCAATTAGTCAAGTTGCAACATGTATCTTATACTAGTTGGCACGCAAGCCTAAAAGAAATCGGACTCGCAGGCCCATAATAATAACAATAACAACGGACTTGCAAATCAATATAATAAAGAGCTCGCAAACCCATAACAAAAACAATAATAGCAGGTCCAAAATAATTAAGGGCTCGCAGGCCCATAAAACAACAAGAAGTAAATCAATCATTCAACACATCCATATGGTCGAGTCCATAATCATCCATAATTAAACATTCATCACATAAATATTTCCTATGTATAATATCTAATATTATATGCAATGTCTCATAAATCTAACCATTATAGTCATCAAAACTAATTTAAAATTTTGGATCGAAATAATTAAACAATTAATTAATCATATTAATTAATTAACTTAATTGACGGGCCTATTTAATTAAAATCAAATTTTAACTAAATCCTGAATTAGAGTCCAACTCTAATTCCATAACTATTGGGCGATGTAATTTAATTAAACTCAAATTTTAATTGATTATTAAATTAGAGTCCTACTCTAAATTTAATTTGCATTGGGGAATTCTTATTAATTGGAATCAAATTTTAATTAACATAATATTAGAGTCCAACTCTAATAAAATTGAATTAATATTTTAATTTAGGACAAAACTCCCAAATAAAATAAAAACTCAATTTAGGGCAAAATTAAATATTTAAGTTAAAATCTAATTTTAACAAAAATATAAAAGTCGTCAAATTTTAAATATATCATTTATTTTGGGACTAATTAGAAACATGGGTCAAATCCAATAAAATCATAATTTCAAAAACCATTTTGAATTCAAATTTAAAACCATTTTCAAAAATTGCAATTTGACCCAATTCGAAATTAAAACACAAGTCCCTCAATTTCTTAAATTACATGACAGGCCCTGAATTAAAAATTGCAAAAAACACCCATATATCTTTAATTTCAAGTAGGGGCTTGAAATTACATTAATTGCAATAGTAGCCCCCGCCTCCACCTTCCTCAAAACTGAAAAACCCTAATTTTTTTTTTTGTTTCTCCAGTGGAGGCAAGACCCACAACCAGGCGCATGCGCAACAGCGTGCTGCTGCGCGCCGACGGTGACGCCACCACCGCCCGCTCGACCCAATTTTTTTTTTCAAAATCAAATTTTGAAGAAATTAAATTAAACACTATAATTGCTAGATTCATGAATAAACATGATTAAATCAACTTTTAATTTAATCAACATGTAAATCAGTTCCTAACAAATATAAAGTTGGCTCTGTACCACTGTTGGGAATTTACTTAAACATGCACGGCGAAAATAAAAACAATTTCAATTTCCACCAGGATTCATCTTTGTATTTAGATAAGAACTGTGATGAAAATTATACATTTTCTTGAATTTGTAAACTTCTTTGCGTTATCTTTGTTCCAGCAACTTGAATCTGCCTCCCACAGCTGTCCAATTGTCCAGCCTCCAATGAATTCCACATAGAGAATAGACTGCAACTGCTAGGGTTTCTCCTCTTGTGCTAGCAAGAATTTTGAAAACTTCATGGATCTAAAACCCTAGCCATGTATTTATATAAGCCCAAACGGGTTCGACTTGGTCCGGTTTAATGTTTAATTAATCATTTTAATTAAATCCGGTCTGTGAATTAATTAATCCAATTAATTAATTCGGGGCTATAAATAACCAATCCAATTAATTAATTTATCCAACGATTGTTAAGTTAATTAATTGACAAATTGCAATCTTCCAATTCTCTTTTGTGTGCGACCCATCAGGTTCCCGACCACGATGCCTAACAACGAAAAATATTATTTTGATCTAATCAAAACTAATAAATTAAAACACCCTTTTAGTTTATCATAAATTTACACTCGCCGTCCCAAATTGACATCTAGCAATGTATCAGGGCAACACATGTGACGAAAAATGTCACGTGGTATGACAAAACCAAACCTGTTCGTTTACTATGAAACTATAATCCCTTCGTCATTATGATCCGATCAATTACGAGATATGAAAGTGTGTCAATCTCGATTATCTATCATATCTTTCATTCTACTATTAAGTCAATATAAGTTTAAAACTCCTTTTTGACTTATGTGTATATCTTGGCCAAGAATTTTGTTATTTACTTAATTGAACGAAATGCAGATCACATTCTCTTACCATCTAAGAGTGACGAATCCTCTATTGATCATTCACAACTTTCATATGGTTCTTGATATAACCGAACGATGTCGTATTAGCGGCCTTTGGTAGAGCAACATCCAACACCGTTAAAGCATGACTATCCTCATACAAGGCACTATGATGATCTCAAGTCAAAGGACCAATTTCACTACCGAACGTTAGAGATTAACCACTGACACTCAGATAGTTATCCATGTAGAATCTCTTAGCGGTTCTTCAATGTTTTGTTTTATAACAAAACATCCACGTGTTCATTCAAGTGTCATCACACTTTAACTTGTGAGATCAGCTACTTATTTCACAAGTAGGAAATGCCACACATGATGGTCTATCCGTAATAACGATATCCGTATCTCGTTATTACTTATGACCACTGATTATTCAAGATCCAATCATATGTAATTTGTATCTCACAATCACAACTCCTTGTGATTAACAAATCACTTAAACTTGAATTTTCGGACTCTATTATTTAATATTATTTATCGAAAAATTAATTTAAATAAATAATATATCTTGCCAAAATTAAATACATCAAATATATTAAAAGTGTTTACAACCTAAATTGATTGGATTTAGGGTATAACACTTACACCTCTGACATGTCACCCTAGAGGTTCAGAGACGACATTGTCATAGGTGGTGCAACTGCTGTTTCTGATTGTGTTGATGCTGTTGCTATAGCAACTCTGGTTTTGTAGTGGTTGTGTAATGATTTTGTTGGTGGTGATTGCAGTTAGTTAGTGATTGTGGCAGTGCTGGCGAGTTGCTGTAGTCGTGGGGTGGTCGTGGGAGGGTGGGTGTTTGTGACCAATTATCTTGTTGATTGTAACAAATAAATTGGTAAATTTGTGACAAATAAAGAATATGTGACATAAAAAAATTGTGATTATGACTTACAACTTATTAAGTTCTGATCAGAAATAACTTATAATCAATTAATTTGATAATTTGTGATCAATACATAAATTAAAACTTATAAATTTTTTTGATTTTATAACTAATGAATAAATTATGATCTATAAAATTTTTTATTTGTGATCGAAATATAAATTTTGACTTATAAAATTTTCAATTTGTAAATGTTAAATAATTTATGATCAATTAATTTTATAATTTGTGATCAAATTATATAGAGTTGTGAATTAATATATTTAGACAATAAAATATATTTTTAATGAATTATTTCATAAATAAAAATTAATAGTATCCAATTTTTGAAATTTTAAACTTTCTTTTAATTTTGAAATAAGGCGTAGTTGATCTCTTAGAAATGAAAATTTTCCAAAGTGAAATTCGAATTATGCTCAAATTATCTTTCAAAGTTACGAGCTAATTCGACAGGTGGAATGCAAATATTACAGGCTAGTTCTAACCACTAGGCCAGACCAATATGTTCCATGCTTGTGAAATACATGTGTTTATACGAACTGTTCTTATATTGTAAGTTTTACGGGTCAAGGCAAAAGCTTTCTCAAAATATACTCATTTGTTATTAAATTTTAAAATGTTTTTGAGTTATCATTGGACTGAGTAAAATGTTATCACACCTACTAGACACCATTTAAAATTAAAGGATTTGATTAACTTTCCAAAATGTTATCTCAAATTATTTTAAATGCCATTTCATCACGTCTGTTAACTTTTAAAATAATGAGTGACATAGTAAATCACAGTATAATATTTTGGTAAGTTTAGTGAGAGCTCGACTTTTTTTTTTACGCTCAGTGATCATTGAAAAAATAATTGACAAAATCTAATGACCATTAGGATATCTAACCCTGAGTTTTCCCTCCTAAAAATTTATCCATTTTTTAAATAACGGGTCGACTGAGTTAGTCCCAGTGGTTTTCCATGGTGCCCATAAAGTGCAACACTAACAATTTATTATTGTTGTCAACATAATCACCGCAAATGGCAATGGTCAAAAGCTACTCATCAACTTGATTTACGTTGTTCATCCAAGTCACCTTGTGAGTTGATTAGTGTCTCGCTTGCAACCAATTTGGTGGTAAGTGCTGTCAAATCAAATTCAAGCACTTGTTCGAAGCAATGAATTTGAAATTCAAACTTTACTCTATTTCTCTCTCTCTCTCTCTCTTTTAAACATATAAATAAGATATTTTTTATTATAGGCGAGCGACTCGCAAGTGATTCAGCTCTCCCCTATCATTAGGTGAGTCGAGTGAGCGTGTTGTGTTCTGCTTGTTTGGGATTAAGTCGAGCCGACCTTATTCAATTCATTGCCTTCAACCATATCAGATAAGGATGATTTCAATCCTATATTTGTACGAGATGGGAACCTCAACCATTGACAAACAATACAGTAGAATACAGTAGGACGAATCAAACGAGTCGAACCTGAAAATTTACAAGCATCAAGAAAAGCGAGCCAAGCCAACTCTGCTCTACATTGGCCATCTTACCACATTACCTAAAATTCACCCCTCCAATTAACTTCCGCGAAAATAGTTTTGCCCCAAAACCCGGATCTTGCGATGGAGCAAACGCCGTCCACGCCACCACCGGCGGAACAGCAGCAGCAACCCCAACAAACGCCGCTGCCACCACCCGCCACCACCTCCTCCCCCTCCTCTTCAGTTCTCACTCCTCCTCTCCCACAAACGCCACCTGTCACCACTTCCTCCTCAAACCCTAGCCCCACTTCCACCCCTAAACCCCCACAGTCTCAACCTGCCACTCCTCAAACAAGACCATCCTTCAACACCAGACCGTGGCAACAGCCATCCTCAACTTATTCGCACTTCTCACTTCCCCCGCCTCCCCTTCCTTCAACCTCCAATCCTACTACTTCGATTTCTGTGCCGCCCGTGCAAAGAGGTGGCATGGCCATTGGGGTCCCTGCCCAACACCCCGCCACGTCTTCGGCTCCCCCGACCTCCTTTTCCTCACTTACTTCCCCTTCTTATGGTCAACAATCTCAGGTCATTTTTTATTTTCTTTAAGCAAAATTCTGATATGAATTCATTTATATTTTCATTATGTCGTAAAAATGTAATTCATCAATATGTATGTACTATGGAATTACATCGTCATTTCTGCATTGCGGAGTTGGGTACGAGTTTAATTGTTGATCGGATTTGTAGGTGAGGCAGTCCATACAAGGAATGCAAGGAATTGGGATGACCGGATCTCAGGGTACAACTTCAGCAATGCGGCCGGGAGGGATTGCTGCACATCAGTTGAGGCCTGGTCAATCATCTCTTAGGCCACAGACTAGCTCAAGTTCCCAGTCCCCTACTACACCGGTTGGTAGTTAATGGATTCAATTTTACATGGAATAAGATATTTCTTTGGGTATGCTTAGTATGTTTATGTGTTTGTAATTGCTTATAAGTATGGGATATCTTCCTGAACATAATTATGAAGTAATGCTTAAAGTTGTTATCCAAATTCCAATATATTTTACTTGAGAACTAGGGAATTGTGAAAGTCTTTGAAATTGTGCAACAGTATTGAAAGTTGGTAGAGCAGCTATTGTTGACCACACAAATCAACTACTTGTTTAGGGGATGTGCTTGTTAATGGTATGCTTTTTGTAATTTTTTTAGCGAGGTGATAAACATATGCTACATTATTTTTATCAAATTGGGTTTTTTTAAAGCGTAACCTGGAGGATGATTATTGGTAATCAGTTCATAGTTGATAATTCCTTCTCTGTCTCCAGTTCCAACCCGAGACCTCTCCTTATATTGTAGTGATATTGCTTGCCATTTTTTCAGCTGAGGTATGAAGTTGTTGGCAAATGTATGACACAGATGTGCGAGGACATATTTGTTAGCCATGCAACATAAAAAATTTGGCCATGAAAACAATGGAGAGGAATATCTTCTTTACTCTGAAAAGTGTTGAGCACGCAAAAGATCTTCAATTTTGAATTTTACCAGCTGATTATTTTTACTGCCATGTGCTTTGAAGAATGTGAAACCAACTTTACACATCTTTTAAGTAATCTTGGCTTCCCAATGTGAGCCTCAAATAATGGAAAGGAAAAATAGAGTGCAGTCTGATTATGGATCAATGGATGTGAAACTGATAATTTGTGCATTATTTTAGCTGTTTGCGTAAACATCACCTGCTTGCATAGACCATTGCTTATTCAGAAAAGCACCTACTATCATGAAGTATGACAGCGCTTTTTAGTACCTTTTGAACAATAATGCACTTTTAGACTTCGTGAACAAGTCTGAATCTTGGAAATAAAGTATTGTTTGTGCTTATAATGTTTCAATTATATGGGTGGATGATCTATGAAAGCTGGTTCGTACTTGGGCAAATTTTGGATGCTTGAGGTGTTTATATGCATGTATTTATCTTCATTTGTAGTATACCTTTTTCATTGTTATATCTATGCTTGGAACACCGTTCTAAGAGTATAATGACCCTTTTTCTATTCTCTTGTGCTGGTTTATTGCATATGTAAAGTGCACGGACTCCCACCTCTACCCCTCGGCTTGGGATGGTTTCACATTCAATATTTTTCTTATATGAAATATCATAGTTCTTCTATCTATGTCTAGGGCTGGAGAACCGACCGAACCGGACGTGAACCGAACTTAACCGAATGGAGCAGTTCTTCTTAAATTAAATACCTAAACGGGTATTTGAATCGAGAACAACGGGTTTGGTTTGGTTCTTGAATCTAGATTAAGATTGAATTTCCTTAATTTTTTTAATTTATTTATTTTAAATAAGCAAAATTATTTTATTTTTTAAAATAAATTTGCTAATTAGTTAATTTAGTTCAAACTCAAAAATATTATTTTCCTATTTCTAATTTTCAGCCTAAGTCTAATTTAATCAAATTGATTTAAGTTTTACCCAAATTTGTTATCATACCGTAGTGCCGTTTCTACCGTTTTGAAGAAATCGAATTGAAACTCGACAACGCCTTTCTTAATTATTGTGAACTCGTTATCTTCCTCTTCCTATATTTTAACAATCAAATATATGAAGAAGTCATTAAAGAGAGAAACAAAAGACATATAAGATTGTATTACGTTATTTTGTAAGAGTTAAGATTGAATATATCGTTAGTTGAATTAATTATAGTACAGAACCTAGGAACTGAATGGTGCTGACTCGAATTGAACTGAATGGAACCGAACCCGAATGGTTCCATAATTAAATTTGGACTCGATGGTTCCACTTACTAAATACTTGAAAATTTCGTGTTTGATTAGAACCGAACTGAACAGAACCGAACCGGACCATACTCAGGCCTACTTCTGTCCACCCCTCTCTATTTATCGTACATACTTGATGCTATTTGAAGACAACTTTTGATAAAGATGTATCGATGAATTCATTACATTAGTTGTCCACTCGCATTATCAACCATATATTTAGTGAAGTAGATGCTTTTAAAAGCTGAAAGTTGACATAAGTAAGCCGATTGAAGATTTTAAATTATATGTGCTTGTTTTCATTTAGATGTTTAATGGTAAATATTTTGATCCTTTTTCACTCAGAATTTCCAAGGGCATGGCATGCTCAGAGTTCCGTCTTTAGGATCTCCTGGATTGTCAACGTCCGGTAGTTCCCAAAGCTCACAGTCCCAGAATCAGCTATGGATGTCTTCTGGAACCCAAGGAAGACCTCCTTTGCCAACTCCATCACTTCGACCCCAGGCCAGCTCCCAGTCATTGCAGCAAAGATCCCACATTCCTCAGCTACGATCCATCACTACCTCACTACAGCAGCAAACAAACTCGACGCAACACTCGCCACAACCTTCAACCTCAGGGCCAGTACAAGAAAATTATGGGCAACAATTCCCACCTTCCAGGATGCAGCAGCCATTATCTCATCATCAACAGATTGCGAGGGGTCAGGGATTGGGAACCCAAAGACCTCCTCTCTCAATGCTACAGTCCAGTGCAGTCCAGCCTGGATCCTCAAATAAATCAGCTACTGCAGACACTGAGGAATTTAGTACTCGGATAGTCAGCAAGAGAAGCATCCAAGAGCTAGTAAGTCAGGTAAGCATGTACACATTTGCGTATTCTCACAATCCTACGTGGAACTTGTCAAGTTGATGTTGTTTTGAGTCTTCTATATTGAATCAAGATTGTATTTAACTAATGCTTATGATTGCATATGAATTTACTACCAATTCTATTTGTCTGCTAATTGTGTTGGTTGTGCTGTCATTTTTTATTATCTTCTTGTCATATGGTGTCTGACATCCTAAATGTTGTCTTCTACTGTTTTTCTAGCTTTTGAGACCTGTTCATGCTTCTTGTCATTATATGCATATGAATCATACTAAATTAACTATATTTACATAAATAAGATCAGGTTCAAATCCCCCAGCTTTCTTTCAGAAGGTTTCTGTTCTGAAACTAATCTGTCTTTTTGGTTATATTCACTCTGTTTTTGGTGGTTAAAATAGCTACAATCCTCTACTTTTTGGTCCAGTATCACTGAAATATTAATCTATGTTGATGGCAGTGCTAGAAGTGATTGTTTTAGGTAACTCTATCCAATTGTTGACAAAAAGGGTTTAAAGAGGACGTGATGTATATGGTTAGAGTGGGTATGACGAAATAAAGAAGTGCTACTGGAATTGTATTTGATGGGAAGATTCCATTAAGGTTAAAAAGCAAGTTGTATTAGAACAGTTGACCAACCCTGCTTTATGACTCTTTGTGTTCAGCTGGAACGAAAATAATAGGAAGAAATACTGCAAATAGAACCATTGCGCCACCCATCAAAGGAGTTGTGCCCTTCGTTCTCCTTCTTTTTTTTTTTTTTTTTTTTTTTTTTTTTTTTTTTTTTTTTTTTTTTTTTTTTTTTTTTTTTGATAGGCCTTCGTTCTCCTTTTTGGGCCTATCCGAAAGAGAATCCACTACTTTTTGATGGTAGATCCATAATAAAAAAGTGTATGGTTGTTCCATTTAGATATCTACTTCAAAAGAAACTTGTTTAAAACTACCTATAGGTGGTACCACATAATTGAAAGAACCAAAATGTCCAGATTTGAGATTTATATGATCATCATACTAGGATGGATAAGATGATAAATGACTATATATTCCAACTAGTGGAGGTGGTGCTGACTGAGAATGAATTAAGGGGAAGGGAGACCGGTGGCTGGGCCATGTCCTATGTTGACCTAAAGAGATTGCGTTCATGAGTGTGATTTCATTTTTAGCGGAGTAAGCTAGAAAAGGGAGGGGTATTTAGTTGCTAATTACTTAGTTGATTTATATCTTTAAGTAGATCTAGTAATGAACAAGCGAAGAAGAATACATGTAACATACCCAGATTTATTTGTAATAAAGCGTCATTTGTTGTTGTCTGTTTTGTGATATGTGATATTTGAGCTTGTGTACTAGGTTGGACGTATCGTGCTTTGCTTTTGGAAATCGCTAGGGGCTAATGTAAATTGCTTAGTAGTTCCATTTATCTTTGAAATGTAAAATTTAATGTGTGCAGAATCTATTGTTACAGTTTATTCGATACTAAGATTTATTTCACAAAATGTGACTAGGTTTACACTAGCTACGACAACCATCCTCCTTTATTCATTCTTGGAATAAACTATGTAAAAAGCATATATGGAGTTTTGAATGCAATAGACGATTAAAGTAAAATTTGTCACGCACAGGGTTCAGAAATCCATGGTTTATGGTCCTTAATTCAACAAATTCTGTGGCAGAACCAATTTTCTGTAATTCAAGTATCATACTTCTTTAAAATTTTTCACAATTCATCATTAGTTTTTGTTTTCTAATCCCTACTGTCTTACGAAAACCCACCAGTTCTTAATCTGTGACAGTGGCTGCAAGTTAGCCTTGTGGGTTTAATGCTGGTAAATAAGCACCCTTGATTATGTTTCTATTCCTGGGACCTAAATGTGACATCTTAAGGTCTCAGAGATTGGCCAAGTATACTAGACTGTCAGACTCCTATATTTGATGATAGTTTTGGCTTGTTTAAGCACGGTTGAAATTTTTTGAGTTGAATAAATAATAAATCTACTGTCTATGTGAATTTAAGGGCCTATGCCACTCATTCTGCTTATGTATAGTGCAACTGGATATGGAGACCATTATGTAATTTTTCATTGTGCACCTTGACTTTTATGATCTATTATCTGTGTTCTTTATTTTGTGGCCTTGATTTTGACATCTTAATGGTAGCAGAGAAGATTGATTGCCTATGTATCATAGTGTCATATTTCTACTGTTGATGGTGGTTTTGTATAATTTGAGCAACTTTGAATATTTTTGGATATTTCGATCTATGTAAATTTAAGGATGTGTCTTTTGCTTTACTAAACACCTTGACTTTTATGATCTTTTCAAGGTTAATATATAATTTCTTTTTTACTCAAGCGTTTGATTCACTTGCATTTTTTGACAGATTGATCCATCAGAAAAATTGGATCCTGAAGTTGAAGACATTCTCGTGGACATTGCCGAGGACTTTGTTGAATCTGTAAGTTGGAAAATTCAAATGCTATACATCTGTCCAACAAAAATAATAATTTCTGACTTTATTTCTGCATAGTCAGCTATCTAGGTGAGTTCAATTTTCTCATGCTAGCACTTATTCGTATCTATAGGAATTTGTAAAAATAATTATTGTCCATTGCTGATTTCTTGTATGCACTTTGCTTATCTTGCTGTCAAACATATGCAAGTACTGATGTAATTGTTATTGCTTGAAATCGTGGAAGCAAATAGGGAAGACAAATCATAATTTTATGTCATCCTTAAATAATTCTCTGTTGGAGATACTGACAGTGAGGAGAATCTTTTTGACTTTTAAAACTGCTTGGACGATTGATATTAGGAAGTTGACATTAGCTAAACAGGACACTTGCTGCATTTATTTATTTATTTATGTTTTTTTGGGGTAAACTACAATAAGGATATCATATTGTAGGGGTACTCTATTTTTGAATGTTTAGAAATATTTCTTCATAACTTTGGTGGCTAGATTTTAATTTTTTTGTAAACTACTCTTGTTTCTTAGCTATATGCAATTATCATTTATATTTGGTATTAAATTTTATTCATTTTTAAATTATAAAAGTCCATTATGACTTAAATGCATGGCTAAGTTGCATTAACAAGCTCTTCTATTTCAAATATTACATCACCAGATTACAACATTTGGTTGTTCATTGGCCAAGCATCGAAAGTCCACTACCTTAGAAGCCAAGGACATTCTTCTAAATCTTGGTTAGTATGTAGGAGTTTGCTTTTTGTTAAGTGGTGAAAATATTCAGAGCTTAAATGTCTGTTTGATACTTTGACTCAGAAAGAAACTGGAATATGACACTTCCTGGATATGGTGGAGATGAGATCAAGATTTACAAAAAGCCGGCAAGTATTTTCTCCACTTACTTTGTTGAGAGTTTCTTGAGCTTAATAAATGATGTGTGTTGGTGGAGGTTTTGGTTGTTTCTGCTGCTCTCACCTCTCACCTCACACGTCATAGATTATTTTTCTAAATCGTGAAATTGTACATATTTTCCTGACTCTTTTGTCATGTGGTTTTCAGTTTGTAAGTGATATTCATAGGGAGAGGTTAGCAGCGGTAAGTCTTGCCGATTCATTCTTCGTACTTTTTTTACTAGTGTAATGAGCAGGGAGTACTACAGTCATTTGATAGGTGAAAGAACTGATATTAGGATGTTAGTTTGAAGTAAATAAAATTCTTGTTGGATTTCTTCTGGTTTTTCTGTGATGCCCTTTCTTTTTTTACCTATTTCTTTTCTGGTTTTGGTTGATGCCTTTCTTTCTTTTTACCTATGTCTCTATTGATAGATTAAAAAGTCGATTTCAGCCACTGAGATGTCGGCTAAGAGCTCATCTGGACTGCAAGGTGGAAATGCCAAAACTCATCAGGCAAAGGGGACTGCCAGTGTCATTGGTTCCCCACCTAATGCTAAAATACGCGAAGCTGGATGAGTTACTGCTAAAAATGCCTGGCTGTGCAGTTTTGATTCGAAAAGGTATTTTTTTTTTTTTTCTGAATATTGTGATATGTATGTCTGCAAAACGAACAGAATGTTGAACACTCACATGGACACACTCCAAGAAAATTTGAATGCCTTGGAAATTGGAATATTATTTTTTATAGCTCTCAGTCTCCTTTGCATTATAAAGAAAACTAAATGCAAACATTTTTTTCTTGAACTCAAATAATTTCCATTAATGTGAATTGGCACAAACAACATGCGAAATAGACGAGTGCAATCAACCAAGTGTATATCCAATGGGGGTAGAGTAGCAAAGGATGCAAGTGTGTGGACCACACATTTCCCATTTCTAGGAACATACAGACTAGAGCTTCACCCTTCATCAGAAAGAAGCACACTACAAGATTATCTAAGATCGAAGCATTTGCCACCAAACTGAAGTTTGAGTTCAGGCCTTGGACGATCCGAAAATCGTCACATTCTCTGAGGGATGTGGCATCGACATTTCTGACAAAAATCCACCCTAACAATCTTTGAGCAAGCTGCTATAACTGTGCCTTCATGGGATTCAGAGCCACAGTCCCTATGATCTAGGATGGAATAGAATAACTGTGCCTTCATGGGATTCGGAGCCACAGTCCCTATGATGTAGGATGGAATAGAATAACTGTAGGAGAATGGGAAGGGGGAGAAGAAGAGATTTTTTTTTATTTTTATTTTGTTGGGGGGTGGGGGCGAGGAGAGAAAAATTGAGGGCAAAGGAAAATATCAATTTATTTCATTATTGAAAGTTGTCCTATTACAATACATAAGAGCCCTTTATAATAGGGGTTCAATGAGTCTATTCTAAATAGGAAATATGTAATATAAGCTATTATATGAAACCTTACTTATGTTTCCTAAAATATGCGTCAAAATTGGAAATCCCTTCTAATACTGCATCACCCCACCTCCAAGGATTTCCTGCCCTCTTTAGCGAATGCAGCAGTATTCTGTTTCGTAGTGAGAAAACCATGCTGCTGGACATCATCCCTGAACTCAGCAAATAAGGCTTGCTTTCTCAGCCAATAGAGGCACAGTTTGAGCCTGCCCTCCATGCATGACCCTGTTGCGATCTATCTAGATGATTCAGCTGATCTTTGTGAAATTAACCCGTGGTATCCATGAAAAATTCCCAATGAGTAATGTTCATCTTGTGCACTGTGCATCCTTTAATCTCCTTCTACCATACTATACTCTTCCACATTCTTTTCCCAGGGGCGGTAGAAGATAGTATCTAAACTTGTTTCAGTGAAGCCACATTTTAAACACTGTCTCGATTCCCCGCTTGATGGCTTAGCGAGTTATCAAATGTGGGTTGAGTGTTTGGAAATCCTGCCACAAGAATATTCTGATTTTCTGTGGGACTCAAAGCTGTCATTTGTTTCCACCATTCAACTGGAGAGTTCTCATTAAGTAATAATTTGTATCCACTTCTAACCAACTAGATTCCCTGTTTTAATGATGCCAAATAATTTGGTTGGTTCGTTGGTACAAGGTCAATGGTATTTTCAAGAATTGCTGCATGTGGAGCCAATATTAGTCAACTCACATGACTAGCTGAAGCATTATAGTCTGATAGGGTGGAAAGATGATGACCTTGGAATCCACTTATCTTGAAAGGTTTGGATTGATTCCCTCTAATTCACTCTTCGCATTATCCCCTTCCGTACCAATTCATGGCCCGAAAGACGGCTTTTTATGAATAGTAAGACCTAATTTTGTCTGTAGCCGATGGTTTTATGCTGCAAAAAAATAAGCATTATTAAATAATCTCAATGCTTGCTTTGCTTTAAGTGTTTTGTTAAACAAAGTGGAGTCCCAAACTACAAACCCCTAAAGCACTTGGGGAAAGAACATTTTCCATTCGATCCATGATATCTTCTTTGCACCATCATGGAAGCCCCATCGAAACCAAACTACCAAGAACCATAATGTCTCTGCATAAAATTTAGGTACTTGGAAGTGTTCATAAGATAGGTTGGCACAGCTTGTAGAATAGCTTTGACAAATGTATAGTCCCACTGAGAAAAGTCCTCGACGCCGTCCTTTTATTTTATTCCACATATTCTCCTTTATGGCTGCAAGTGTTTGACGTTTATTTTTCCCAACCACAGTTGGTAGTCCAAGGTACATATTGCGGTCTAGCATCCCCCAATCCTAGAGCCTCTTAGATTTTTTTCTGTGGAAACCTGTGAACCAACCAGCCACCAATGTGTTTAGAAGAACAAAGATCCCATTGGGGCCTGGTGCCCTTCATCTGTTCCGTTCCATTGAGAGCTTTGTAAACTTCATCATCCTTGAAGGGGGGCATGTTTTCGTTATATGCATTTAGTTTTAGGAGACCGAATGTTACATTAAGACGTGCTTTGGAACTTGGAACTGAGACTTGATTGTGTTGACTAGTAGACTGGACTTTGTATTTATGTTGCCTTGTGACTATATTTGTCTCTGCTGCTCAAATGCTGGATCAAATTGTGCGTTCGTCTGACTTAGCGCTTCCACGTTGTTCCTTGGGTGCAGGTGAACTTTGAAGAATGTGGTGGTGAAAGTAGTAGATGGAGCACAATTTATTTTGCCAATGCAATCCCCATAATGGATGAATGTGAAAATTAACCAATCAACTCCCACCCCAGAAAAGAGAGGAAGAAGACGAGAAAATGAAGTGGTAGGAATCGGCTCTTTTGCAATGCAATTCTTCCATATGATGCATCAAAGACACAGGAACTGGACTACACCTTCAAATCTACGTTGTGTCTTCATTACCGTTTCCAACTTTTGCCCAATTGTTCGTTTTTATGCCATCACCATGTTACTGTAAAATATAAATGCTATGGATGGGTTCTCTTTCGCATCTTTTGGGGTGTTGCAAGAACATTGAAGCAAATCTTTTGTGATACATGTTTCTTAGGTGCACAATACCAATATGTTTGATCTAGAATGCTTATATAATCACACCACATGTTTTGATAGGTAAAGCCAAAATGCCAATTGACTTCTGATTCGAGAAATGGTTTCTTGGTTGTATGTTGAAATTCGCTTAATGGCTTTGTGATTTCTTATTAATTAGATAAATGGCATTGCTCTTATGAGCTCTTGAGGAAGCTGGTAATTTATTTTACCGTGTGGTTATTATGGAAGAAATGTATCAATCAAATTGCCCTGTTTCGGTTCCCTTTTTTTTTTTTTAATTTTTTATTTTTTTGGTGTCTTGAATCTATATTCCAAATGGAGATGTATAGATCTCGTTAACGAAATGAAAGGAAGACGTGTTTTCAGTTATGCCAATGTTTGCCAGAGTAATAGTTAAGAGCAAATTGCGGTGAAGTGCTCAGTTCATGTTAGTAATAAATTATTGTTTTGTACAAAATAATCTCGTTTTCATGTGACAGATTGTCATATTATGAACAATCCTTATCCCTCAAGATTCCTTTGTATCGATGACTACTCATAGATGTTATCAAGATTTTTGTCAATTATTTTATTTTTGCCATAGTTGAGCATGATTCAAGTATAATGCTTTTCCTCGATAATGATTTACAAAATTATTCGTATACTTTGCTATACCATTAAAATGATGTTTTGTCGAGTTCTTTCGTTGCCCTTGTTTGAGCCCCTTTCTTCAGGAAAAAATACATTATTCTACAGTGTTTCGACATAATTTCAATCACATTTTTCAATAAAATAATATTACACGTAAATTTAAAATTTTTCTTTATTTTTTAACCGCACATTTTTCATCAATACACTATTCAAAAATACGTTTTTCCCTATAAAATTATAACCAAAATTCTCTCCTGATATCTCTGTTTGATTGTGGACGTTATTTTGTCCGTCCAAAAAATTATTGGTCTGTATGATGAAGTTTACCATATCATACTTTAGTGCATATATACACAATTGAAATACACACACACACACACAATTTACTTGCACGATCAAATTATCCAGAACAAAGAACAACAGAATTATCCCCTCGTTTGGCCTTATTAAAATTATAATTCATTTTCTCTTCTTATCAGCCGCACATTCTTCAATACAATAATATTATACGTAAATTTTAAAAAAAATCTTCCTTTTTAACCACAAATTTTTCAAAAAAGTAATATTCCAAAAATTAAATGGGCAAATAATGGGGGCCAAATGGGAGCTATATATTTCTCATGTCAATAACAATATTTTTCTAATAAAATAAAAATATAGGACAAAACCACAAAAAAAAAGAAAAAGAAATTTCAATACTATTTGATGAAAAGAAAAAATAAATAATGTTCAATATTATCAATATGTTCAAACTCTAAAAAATTATTAAGCCCCTGTTTGATTTTCATTACATTACATTACATTCTATTTTTCTCTCTCCTATTTTCAACCACATAATCTTCCATAAAATAATATTACACGTAAATCGAAATTTTTTCTTTCTTTTTCAACCACTCATTTTTCAAAAAACACTATTTTATACATTAAATTTTCCCCGTAATGGGGGCCAAACAGGGGCTAAATTAAACAAACAATCAATATCTGAAATTTTAATTAAAAATTGATCTTTTCCCATAGAAAAATTGGAGAAAGATGAAAAGAAGGAAACATTAATTTTTTTATTTTTTATTTATATATATATATATATATCATGGTTCTATAGTTCGTAAAATGTTAAAAGGAAAGAGAAATATACACAATTAAATTATTATTTTTTCCTATTGAAAGTCATTCAAATGTTGGGTGAATGACAGATATTTTTATAAGACTTTTCAGAAGAATTTTAAAAGCAATTGACATTTTTGTATATCTCATGACTTTTATAAGACTTGAAAAGTCTTAATTTAATATTTTGAGACTTTTAAGAACTTATGAAATATATATTATATTCAATATAAATTTATATAAAAATAAAAAAAAATTCTAAATTTATGTGTAAAATATTTTATTGTATAAATATATAATTGAAATGAAAAACAATCAAAGAGCTTTGAAATAATGATTGTAGCGTAAATGCATCATTTCATTCTATTTGGAAGTCAAAGTTGGCTAAGATCAAAATGTAAAGTCCATCAAAGAAAATATCAAACTGTGGCGTGAATGTATAATTTCCTTCTATTTGCGTATTACATTAGTACTTTTCAATTGAATTCAAAAAATAAATCAGATCACGACACCTACGGAAAATGAGATTATTCAAAGATCACATGCTCGCTTTCAAGAATCATCCACCAACCCCAGAAGAAAAACAAATAATAATAAAACTCGAATTTTATTTTTAAAAATGCCAAAAATTTAAAATTTGAGAATGAATTGTGTTTAAGGATAATAAAAGAAACGCATGAATCATATCGATTTACCTGTTGTCGACTATTACTAGAGGAATAAAATCAGAGTGTGAATATCCAATCCAGCTATCTGAACAGAAATTGGAGGCGTTACAAATAATGAAATTATTTTATGTCTTGTTTATTTAGAATTTAATTTTAGAACACAACAGCTCATCAGAGATCACAATAAAGTGAATAAACTCCCATCCTTTTGTATTTATCATTTTCTCATTTTGCGGGTGTGCCTGTGATTGGTATACACACAGAGAGATCCTGGTTCAATTAGTGATTTCTTTCCATTTTCTGGGCCCCTTTGTTTTTTTCTTTGTGGAATTTGTGTTAAGAGCCGTGATGTCGATTCCTCGAAGTGGTGAGATTGATGGGTTGGTGATTCCCAACAATTGTTGTGCCAAGAAACGTGAGAAAATCATTATTGATACGGATCCTGGCATTGGTAAGTTTGTGTAATCAATCACAAAAGTTTTTATACTTGGGGGTGATTTTGTAGTGTTTGGGTTAATCAGAATTGGTGTTTGCTTGTATCTGACACTAATAGAATTTTGATTCTGTCGAATTATGTGGATACTTACTTGGAAATTTGGCTCCTTCGAATGTCTCCTCATTTAAGTCTTTTCCATGAAATTCACCTGGAAAAAGTTAAAATGTTAATTTTTGAGACTTAGCATAAAATGTGGCACCATTTTCTGTTCTTTTAGCATCTTTTTTTGGGTTCAGATTGTTTTAATTCCATCGATGAGTTCTCCGCCTTTTCTTCTTATTAATTTTCTTTCTTTCCTGATAAAGTAAGAAAAATAGAAGGTTTTTGAATAAAAATCTGGGTTGAACTGAGAACTCGAGACTTTTTTTCATAGAGGAAACCAGAAAATATATTACAACATAGAATTTTCGTCCGGTGCCATCACAATTTGAGTGATCAGAGGCTAAAATGATAGAAACATGTTTCAGTAAAAGAAAAACCAAAGGCTTTATTTTACCGGTTGAGTTTCCTCACATCCAAAATAAATTCAATGACTATATACACAAGAGTGATGCGATCTCAATGTCCATAAACGATGGAGGAGACCAAAACTTACATGTTCTATGGTAGTTGCTTTAAATCTTCTTGTAGGATTAGCAATGAATTGAAATGACCGACATTTTTATGTAGCCAACTCCAAATTTATCAAGAAGCTGAGCACTCTAGTTCTGAGGGGTTGTATATAGTTTTCTGTATGTGTAAAGAAATCCATCCACATGAAAATCGGCTATTATGAATACTTGGTTGGTTTTTAGCTAAATAAAAAGTTGTGTTGAGAAATGGGAGCAGATTCTCTTATTTCGCATGAAGAAATGATTGTCAAGTCTGTTTTATGACATAGAGATTTTTATGCGTGCAAACACAGAGGAAATTGGATCTAACATGCTCAAAGGGCTTACTGTGTATTTCCTTTATGTTGAAGTTACTTGTATAACTGACTCTTAGCATGTATGAGGTTCTGGATAGTAGATATGAAATGTTTCTACATTTACTTCCTATGTCTAAAATACAGGATGCCTTTTCATATGCAGATGATAGCATGGCAATATTAATGGCATTCCAATCTCCAGAGTTAGAGATTTTAGGATTAACAACAATATTCGGTAATGTTGCTACAGACGATGCCACAAGCAATGCCTTGCTTTTGGTATGTAATTTCCTTCACTCAGCACCTTCTCTTAGGTGGTAATGTTGTTGGATTTTTTTTTTCCTGTACTTGATAATTTTTTCAGATCATGTTCGTGATCGTTTACCATTTTAATGTGCAAAAGGATAGTGTGAGATTGCTGGATGTCCAGATGTTCCTGTGTCTGAGGGTAGTCATGAACCTTTAAAGGTAACAAAGTTCTGCATAAGTTTAGCTTAATTTGCATCTCATTTAAGTTATTAAATTAAGCCAGAGGGTAGCCATACTGATATGCTCTGTTTATAATGCTATTAAGAGCACAAGAGGTTAAGCATAAAAATTTACTTGAAAATAAATAAGTAAATTTTAAAAATAATATATATTTTTTTCTTTGGTGCATGTTGGGAATAAGTAAATTACTTATTTTGACAAAAGAGTTACTTTTCTAAAAAAGTAATAAAAAGCAATATATCTAAAATATTTTAGAACAAAAAGTAACTTTTCCATTTTTTTAGCTTAAACATGTAATGCTGCACATGCATATAGTTTAGAAGATAGAACTTTTTACATTTTTTAAGCTTGGATAAACATGTCATGCTGCACATGTATACACTCATCTCCTGTATATGCGCTATAGAGTGCGGATTAATTGTTGCATTCTACTGGATGTTGATTTCACGAACTTTATGCTTATTTTTATGCATTTAAGCAATGTTACAACAGTTACTTCTTAAAGGGATATCTATAATTGTGTTTGATGTTGAATCAAGAAATATCCTCTGCGAGCATTTTCTTCCTCGTGCGAAGCTTAAGCAATATGCAGTGGGAACAAGAGCGTAAAAGGCTTGCTCAAGGTGAGCAAACCCTTTCCTCGTCCAGGCTGGCTAAGAGCCGTTGTTTAGACACGTAAGCCAATGAATAAAACGTGATACTCTAACAAAATCAGTCACAAGCAAGCCAATAAATGACTGCCATCTGTCATTTATTGTAAATGACTGAATTACCCCATAGCCTGTAGAAAAATCAATAAATACTCCTACCTCAAAAGAGTAAAGCATGCAAATTCAAATATTTCACTCTCAAATAGTCATTTCTCCTCTTACTCCAATTTGAGTATCAAAACTAGTGAGATTAGTAGGCGAAAATTCTGGCTAGGTGGGAGGAATTTGATCCAATTTCTATCATCAACAAATTGGTGCAATCTATGGGAAATTAGAGCAAGGTAAACCACGAGATTCTCTATTGTAGCCAAGAAATCCTTAAGATTTGAAGAAGTGAGTCAAACAGAGGAAAAACCAGAAGAAATGAAAGCGTTAGAGGTTGAAGCTGGACATTCCAATGACTGTTCAGTGGATAATGACATTAATCCTAAAAGGCAAAGGAAGGAAACTCCAGCAGGAGCACAAACGACTTGCGAAACTAAAGCAAAATGTGATATTAATTAAACAAGCAAAAAGTATGTGAACAACCGAGGATGTGTATAAGACGACCTCACAGTCTGAGAGACAAAGGGGAAAAGTGTGGATAGAACTCCTACATCTGGCTCATCATGACGATGGGAACTGAGTAAAAACCTAGAATTGGGAGTAAAAGAAACATTAGGACATGAAACTTGCTCGAACCCCCTTGATAATTTTACTTTTCGTTTAAAAGGGTCGCTAGCTCGGATAGACGAAGAAGGAGGCACAATTTCTAAAGCAAAAGGCCCTTGAATCGAAGCATTGACAATGGAGGACTTCGATACCCCAGACCCTTGTTGGGGGTAGACAGTACGCTCGTACCCCAAGAGGAATGTAACCTCTCCCTTCGTCGGAGCCTAAATCCTTAGATGAAGAAATCTTTTAGCGCTTAGAAGGGTTCACATCAAAATTGATTCGCATTGCAAAGTAAAGGAAAAATTAGGGAGTATTTGGAAATAACACACCTAAGTTAGAAACAAAATATCTAAAGCATAAACAAACCCATGGTAGTTTGAACACCAACGTTGTGAAAGTTTGAATTAAAAGGATGAAGCAATCTTTTAGCTTCGTGAACATTAGGAGACAAGTTAAGGATGGGAGCTATTAGAGCGCGAAGGTCGCTAAGAGCTCGATTGCAAAGCAAAACAAGTGGTTTACCTATATTGTATTACCACAGTAAAATAATATAAATTCAAGGCAAAGAGATAAGCGACGAATTAATATTTACTGCACTCACCATAGGTTCGAGGCATAACAACCGAGGGGTTGTGGTCATTAGGTTAATACCCCAGTTGTCCCGAATAAAGAATAAACTCTCCTTCCAGTTAAGCATCTGGGTAGGAGTAACTATAAGTTCTAGAAATGTCATATTAAAACGAGAGGAAAGGCAATATTACCCTTTTTTGGGCTTGCTGAGTTAGGTAAGTTAGGGTTCAAGTCCGGAATAAGGAAAAAGGAGATGCCACAATTTCCCTAGCTGCTCACCAAAAAATTGCTCGAGCAACAAAAACAGAATGGTCGTTGCTCACTTGTCGCTGCCTTTTCGCTTGCTTATCGTTGGAGTGTCGCTACAATGATAGTATTATTTGGCCAACCCTAATTCGTGATTTTGGAAAGTGTTACATGGCCTATAATACCTAAATATCTCTAACTATAAATACCCAAGCGTTGCATTATTTTCTTAAGTGGTTGTTCATTGTGCCTCATATACATATCATATTCATATCAATCATTTGGTGATCCAAGACCCTGCTCAAACATTGATTCAACCATTCATTCTTAAGATCCTACAACCATAGTGTGTTCATATTCATAAAACAAATTAAGTAAAAAAAGAAAAAAAGAAAAACATGTTGATTATATCCAATTTTGGGGCACCCATAATTTTAGTTCACCATGGGTAGGGACACTATTGCTGAGATAATAACCTCTATATGAAATGCTGATATGGATAGAAAAAGAGTGGTTCACATTTAGCTTCGTGAACATTAGGAGACAAGTTAAGGATGGGAACTATTAGAGCGCGAAGGTTGCTAAGAACTCGATTGCAAAGCAAAATAGGTGGTTTACCTATATTGTATTACCACAGTAAAATAATATAAATTCAAGGCAAAGAGATAAGCAACGAATTAATATTTACTGCACTCACCATAGGTTCAAGGCATAACAACGGAGGGGTTGTGGTCATTAGGTTAATACCCCAGTTGTCCCGAATAAAGAAAAAACTCTCCTTCCAGTTAAGCATCTGGGTAGGAGTAACTACAAGTTCTAGAAATGTCAAATTAAAACGAGAGGAAAGGCAATATTACCCTTTTTTGGGCTCGCATTATTCCTTGTTGGCAGGGGATAGTAAATACAAGCATCTAGGTAGGAGTAACTACAAGTTCTGGAAATATCCTATCAAAATGAGAGGAAAGGCAATAGTTCCCTTTTTTGGGCTTGCATTATTCCTCGTTGGCAGGGAATGGTAAATAGAACGAATACATTTGGCTGAAATTTTTCCTCTAAACTCTCAACCCCTGTAATAAGAAAGATCCAACCAGTTGGGTCCGCACATCTGGAGTAAGTTTGGAAGGGGCAATATTGAAAAAAGAAAGAACATCTCGGAAAAATAATGAAAGGGACTCTTAAGTCCCATATCTATTGAATGTTTATAAATAACTATGCTACCAAGAGGAGGATGATCTGCTGTTTGAAATTGTCCCAGTCATAATAATTTTGTCATTAGAGACATTAAATTTGTCCCCAATTTCGACTAGGTCCTGTTCAGAAATATTGAAAAAAAAAATTCCTGAAGTCTCAAAAGTCTCAATAGGGTCAACCAGTTCACTCGAAAGTTCGCAAGCCTCATTGTGTACCCTAACCCTAGGTTGAAAACTACTTGTTTGCCTAAAAAGCTCTGGATTGACATATATACCATGCCCTACAAAGAAGCACATCAATGTATAGCACTTCCACAGAAGAGGAAGAAAAGCTAGAAGAATTATCTTTAAGCATAGAACTCCCCAAATCAGACTCATAAGTCACATTATGAGAACCATGTTAAGAAGACATCATTGAAGAAAGCATAAAAGAAAGAGGAGGAGAGAACACGCACCTAGATAAAGAAAATTATCGGAGACGATAAGAAATATAACCAAACCGAGCAAATAAAAGCAGCAAAGAACACTCACAGAAGTAATGACATATTTATAGATTCTAATGTAAAGTACAAACCATAGAAATATGTTGATCATAATCATGACGGTTGGAAATGAATTGGTTGATTGAGTCCCGAAACAAATGGGTAAAATCACTTGTAATCTCAATGTGCATTAAACACATATGGGAGACTAGCCCAGAAAATCACAAACAGGCTTGTTGGAGTGCGCATAATGCGACAACAATATTAGAAATGTCACCTTAACAAAACCCACGTCATCTCAGGAAAATATGGAAAGGTGTGGAAAAGTCATATGTAAGTTCGCGGATCTGTAAAGTAGTATAATAGAAATCCTAGCTTTAATATAAATAACAAAATCGGACTTCAGATACTATTTTTTGAATCAAGAAATATCCTTCGCGAGCTTTACCCTCCTCCTGCGAAGCTTAAGCAATAAGCGGGGGAACAAGAGCGTAAAATGCTTGCTCAAGGTGGGCAAACAGTTTTCCCATCCAGACTGGCTAAGAGTCATTACTAGGACACGTAAGCCAATGAATAAAATGTGATACTCTAACAAAATCAGTTACAAGCTAGTCAATAAGGAATCGTTATGTGTCATTTAATTTAAATGACTGAATTACCCCATATACTATAAATACTCCCACCTTAGAAGAATAAGATATGTAAATTCAAATATCTTCCTTCCAAATAATCATTTCTCCTCTTGCTCCGGTTTGAGCATCAAAACTAGTGAGCTTATTAGGCGAAAATCTTGGCTAGGTGAGAGGAAAATGTTGATCCGATTTCTATCATCAACACTTGAGATAGAAAATTATAAGGATGCTATCTCTATTATTGAGCAAATACTAAAAATAACCTGGAAAATAAGAAGATGAAAAAAATTTCATAGCCTGTAGTACAATAGGGTATGTTGCTTCTGATAAAACATAGAAAAGGAACACTGTTATTTTAAAACCAAGTAATTAAGGCAAAACTCTATCTAGACTATGTCTTATTATCATGCTATATGACCTGATTGTTATTATCATTAGCAATTTTGATTTTAAAATGTGTGAAGTCCAGACACATGCTACTTACTGTAGCCTGACCATACTGGAAATTTGTAACAGAGAGGGAAACCACGTATTGCGGACTTTGTTCATGGTTCAGATGGATTAGGTAACACATATTTACCTCCATCCAAGTCAAAGAAATCAGAGAAAACTGCATCCGAGTTTTTGGTCAATAAAGTCTCTGAATATCCTGGTGAAGTCTCTATACTTGCTTTGGGACCTTTGACGAATTTGGCACTAGTAAGTAATGTTTGTTCTGTTGCTTTTCATCTTGGAAAATTCTCCATGTTCGGGGTTCACTATGTTGTATATGTTCAATGTTTACATTCTTTTGTTGATTCAGGCGGTAAAGAGAGACTCATCTTTCGCAAGGAAGGTCAAGAGAGTGGTGATACTTGGTGGAGCTTTCTTTGCATTGGGAAATGTTAATCCTGCCGCTGAAGCAAATGTATGTAGTATTTGGTTCTCTGTCTCCTGTTCCCTTGGCAATAATTGTATCCAGTTTGCAATTCCCTTCAGATTTGATATGTGTCCACACACATTCATTTTAACAAATTCAGGCCCTTAGATTTAGTCAGCAAAAACTTCTTTAGTTTGTGGGGTTATATGTTTCTTTATGTTGGTTTACATTGTCAGTCAACAACAGATCAATTTCGCAGGGCCTTATACCTATTTATGTTGGTTTTTATAATCTCAAGTTCCAGCCAATTTTCATTTTATCATATATGTCAAAACTTTAGTGTTCATACAGGGATTTATTTTACGCTTTTTTTGAATAATTAAATCATGAGAATGTGAACCAGTATGCTCTTCTGCATGAATACGAGTTTGGTTGTGTCAAATGAAGCTCAGTCACTGCAGTCTGCTTTAGTGCTAAGATTTGCTTCAGAATTTCAATGCCATTAATTTTAAACTTCTTTCACTTGAAGATCTATGGGGACCCAGAAGCAGCAGATATTGTGTTCACTTCCGGGGCAAATATTGATGTTGTTGGAATAAATATTACCACACAAGTCAAATTGACAGGTTAATCTCTTCTGATTTTCCCAAATTTCTAGTTCCGCTCCTTTTAAACAATTCTGTGTAACTCATTTAACACATCTTCTGGCTTTCAGATGCGGACCTAGATGAACTAAGGCAGTCAAAAGGCAGGCATGCACAGTTAATATGTGATATGTGCAAATTTTACAGGGACTGGCATGTGAAATCTGATAGCGTATATGGTAACTTGACTTGCACACTCAGCCTCGTTCCTATCATCTAATCAGCAGCGGTCTTTATTCTTGTTTAACTTTCGGGTGACTTTGTTTATCTTATGCCTTGGTTTTATGTCATTCAGGAATTTTTCTACACGATCCTGTTAGTTTTGTGCTTCTTGTCCGCCCTGATCTCTTCACATTCAAGAAAGGAGTTGTAAGAGTCGAGACACAGGGCATTTGTGTGGGCCATACGCTGATGGACCAAGGACTAAAGAAGTATGTTTAGAACATTTTATCCGTGCACAATTTTTTTCTCTTGCTGCAGTGATCTAACTATGTCAAAATGATTCAATGCAGTTGGAATTCAAGCAATCCATGGTCAGGCTTTTCACCTGTTTCAGTAGCATGGACAGTTAACGTGGAGGAAGTCGTAAATTACATTAAGAAAATGTTAATGAAACAGTGATTTCTAAGATATTGGTCGTTTTATATATTATAACGTAAATTACATTAAGAAAATGTTAATGAAACAGTGATTTCTAAGATATTGGTTGTTTTATATATTATAACTTTTGGGCTATTGCTGAACTTTCATGTAATTCATCCTACATTTGTAAACTCATTCCTCCAATTTCTTCATTGAATGAATAGTTGAAGATGTGACACGAACAATATTTGCGTTTAGATATTAACATTGCATCAAGTTTTTTTTATTACCTTGTCAAGTACCTTTCCAAAATCTCAGATGCTAATTGCAAGAGCATTTTGGCCTTGTCGAATAAAAAGTGTAACATGTTGCAAACATTTTGGGGCTTATAGAGCGCACATTTTTTTTTAGCATAGATGGTTTTTCTTTTCTATTTTCTAAAATACAAGTTCTGTGTGAGTTAATTCATGCGTGCTATGGTCCCCTATAGCCAAGTCAGGCGTTTTAAGACTGAATGGCTCTACACATTTTGACACTCCTATGTAGGCACAAGATGTTAATGGGCATTGATCGATTTGTTCGGGGAGGAATATCTTCTCGTGATATTCATCTTTGGTAAAATTAAGTTCCAAGGATATCCACAAGACCATAGTTTTAGTACATTTTGATTACATTCATTCAATACCCTTTTGGTATCTTCGATAAGATAGATACCATTCTCTAGTAAGGGAGAATCACAGAAAGGTTTTGATTCTTTTGTTTGGGACGAACAGCCTGTCATCGTGTTGAAGTTTGGTAAAATCAAATCCACCCTGATTACAACATAATACAGTAGTTTTCTTGTGATTATTGTTGTATCATTTGATAGTTCATTCTTGAGCTTTTAAGTAATTAATTCCCACTTCATCTTCAGTGTATTTGGTCCTCTGCTCATAAAATATGGGCCTACCTCATGAGATACACACTAAATTATCCATGTTGGAACATAGTCTTCCCATGGTGCCTCCGGTGCACATTTCATTAAGCACAGCCTTTTTAGTTTCAGGGAAAAAGAAAAAAAAAAAAAAAAAAAGGGGAAATAATTGGAATGAATCCGCTTACACAATATTTGAAAAAATTAAAATTTTGTCCATTGTACTGTCCAATATAATTTAATAAGTACTATAAACCCGACAAGCAAGAAGCTCTTTATCACACGATTTAGATTAACAGGGAAACCTTCTTCACTTTTGCTCTTACTTAATTCTCCTAAATATCTAAAATATTCAAATTAGTGACCATCCCGGTTAGATAAGTAAGATTCTTCACAGTTGTTTTTTTCCCCCCAACGAATTTTATCTCATTATTTCTAGATTATAATTTACAAAGTCTTTGCAAGTACAGATGTAAGTTTTCTATGATTCAAACACTCACCGCATCATACACTATTTAAATGCTTCAGAGCATGTTTCCAAAGTTTATATTATAATTTAAACTAGTTCAAGTGTACATTTTATCTCTCATTGGTATAATCCACAACTACGATAAATTTAATTATTCCTAAGACTCACGACTTATAATACTTAAAAGAAAGGTTTGTAAGCAAAAATCATCAAATATGTAAACTAAATTGATATCATCCTTTTGGAATCATTAATTTGGTACCATGTGGACCCATCAATGAAACAATTTTGAACAAGCTACACCATTATAAAATGGTTTAATTTAAGTTTCGAAATTTTAACTAGGGTTTGAAATTAAACTGCACAATTTTAAACTGAAAAATAAATGAAAGTAAGACTAAAGATTTAAAATCGGACAACTTGGGTTGGGCAGTTTAATTACAATTGTAACCTCCAAAATAAGACATAACTATTAAAATTTTAATCTTAAGTTTGATCTATTATCAATGGGTAAATCTGCTTGTACAGCAAAAAGTGTTGTACAAGTTTACACTCTTCTCACATGAGGGGACCCCATGCTGATCATGGGACCCCCTTATGTGAGGGGGTGTACATCTTGCTGTATACAAGAGTGTACAGCAAGCACCTCTCATTATCAATCACCTACTATCCTATTTGATAAATCGATCAATCCATCATTATTCATGCTTTCTTTAAATTAGGTTAGTGTTTCTTCAATCCGTTTCAAATGATTTGATTTAAATTTAAGTTTACTCAACAGTCCATATTAGACCGTTCATACTTCTAATTAAAAGCATTACCGCATTCATTAGATAACTTGACTGTTTTTTAGATGTATTTTCTCTTTGAGAAAATCTATTTGTACAGAAATGGGTTTGACAATAAATACAGATCTCTCACATTGGGGTGGGCTCTATGTGAATAAAATAGTGCAAAAAAATCCAACAAACTGTGTCTTATCTGTATAAATTCCGTCAACCGTCTTCTGTACACATGGTGAGATTGTTTCTGTTTTGAGAAAGTTTATCGAAATGAAATCATTACAAATTTACAAGTGGGGATGTATTTACATACTTATCTATTAATAATTGATGTTGGTAGAATATTGAACCTTCAATTGAGATGTTAATCATTGAGGTACCATAACCACATGCTTTCTTGTCTCGACTTGAACTATAAACGCACCATTAATCCAGAATATCTGCATTTTCATAAAGTTGATTGGACCCCAAATATTAAAGTAAGAAAACATTTCATGAAACAGGTTCCTTCAAAGGGCCCAAGAGATTTATAATCCTCTTAACTTTCGATCAAAAAATCTTATGCATTTAATGTCTAAGTGCATCTTCACTTCATTCATGTATTGCAATCTCCATGCCAAACAAATAAAAACATTTTTGTTTAATGTGATATTAATATCTAATAAATGTCATCATAGATGGTTTTCGTTTATTATTCAAATTCATTCAGTCGATGTTTAATTTTGTTAAAAATCTAATTTTCAGTTGACTTTAATAAAAGTTAATAAAATTTGTTGTTAAAAATTTGATAAAATTTGTGAATTCCATGAAATATATAGTTAAAGTGAATTGATGACTTTGACTTAAATTTTTATGAACCTTTTTTGCTAAATCAAATAGGGACTTGATGTGTGAGAGAGAGAGAGAGAGAGAGTTTAATTTTACTCCATCGAAATGATTTTTTATATCTAGATAGACCTCTAGACATTGTCTATTTTTTCTCCGTCATCCATTCAACTTGCATTAGAGAGGAAATCTTTCGAACACCATTTATGTTTGCTTATGTTGCATAATTTTTTAAGCAATGCATAGTTGTACAGAGGCTAGGATTAATATCTTTTCGGTCAAAATATTTGCTTTTAAAGTCTAATTAAGGATTAATTAGGATGAATATTTAATCACTCCATATGCTTTCTATTTTTTTAGTGGGGGACAGTTTGTTTGGAGAGAAATAATTGCTTAAAAGTAGATTATTAGCTGGAAAAATTTGAACCATCTTGTAGGGACATTGAGTTTGACAGATGAAGTTATTGAAACTTTACTTATGTTGCCAAATAAAGATTTAACGCTAGTTCACTCAGAGTTCTAATCGAATAGAGCGATCTTATAATCGTATTGAATGAATTTATCTAATGAAAACATGTTTTCAAGTTCTGTAAATACGAAATTTGATAATTCTGATATCCCATTTAGGAATTTAGAGAAAATATAGAGTA